CTTTTTAACCCACTTTTTTTCCCCCCCCCCCCCTTTCCCCCAATAAAGAAGTTTAAAAAAAAAAAAAAAAAAAAAAAAAAACTAAAACAAAATTTTGCTGCTTCTGATGGGGATGTGTAGTGCTGTGAACACATATATCTGCATGGATATATCTGAACACAGCAGGTGAACCGCCATTCGCTTAATTTGACGCTTACAACTTTCTCGGCCTCTCTTAGGACAAAAACATTGACAACATTCTCTCTCTCTTTTTTTTTTTTTTTTTTTTACTGGGTTTGTCATTTAAGCTCAGACGGCAGACAACCGGGGAACCTACAACACTGCACCGTGAGGGAATCGGTGTCCCTCAACAAGGAAGACCCTCCCTTTCCGCATGTGGTTCAGTTAGCAACGTTCTGCGGCCCTTCTGGGATCAGCGACATGAAGAACGTGATGATGAAGGACCACGTGGAGGACAAGAAGCCGGCATTGGGGGCGCTGTTAGGATCCTCCGCTCCTTCCTCTCCGCTCTCCCCGTCGTCGTCTGAGGCGTCGTCGTTCACTCCGTCCTGCACAGATGGATCACAGTCGGACGAGCGGAGCCCAGTGAGACGTGACTCATGCCAGGGGTTTGCACTTTAGGCTGCCTCGTGTGAAACATGAGCCTGCACGTGAAAGCCTAGTGAGGTATTTTTCATGCCGTCTGCAGCAATAACTGTCAAAGCCCGACTAAAGTGGAAGAAAAGGACGCCGCACTTTTCGTTTCGCTGCAGATTGAATGATTAATCTGATTAATCATTTCATTATTCGAATAATCGACAACTAATTTCGTAATTGATCACTAAATGAAGGATACAGACTCAAAAAATGGCCGTTGGATGAAAAAAGCAACATATAAAGAGCAGCAATTAAGCCTGAAATGTACAATAAATGCACTTTATTGTACATTATTGTTCAAAAACTACATATATATATTGCACATTGTGTAATTAAGATAAGATTTTGTCAGTGAATATGTTTTACCCAAACATATTTACTCCTGAAGTGGCAGAGTTTTAGCTCCTGGCGAGTGAAATATCCTGTTATTACGTTACAGGCAACAAAATGTTTGTTTTCAATTTTTAGTTTATTTGTGTCTCTTAATGTATTTCTAATATTGGATAAGGAAGGCTTAAGCAGTTAAGTCAAAAATCTGCAGAATGCGCCATTTTTTTTTTATCGGATTAATTGTCAGAATAATTGATTGCATAATAGTTACTAAGATAATAGTTAGTAAACTCCCCTCATTTTGATACCCCTAAATAAGAGTTATAGCAGTAAAATGTGTTTGAATACAAATCCACGGATCACAGAAAACGTTTGTGGCTGCGATGTGACATGCTACTTCTCAGTCGGGTTGGTTGTGGAAGAAAACAAGACATTCAGTGAACAAAACTGAAACTCTCAAACTGTTGCAACTTCTAAACTCCAAAGTTTCAGGTGATGGATGAGAAGGGCCCTTTACCACTTCTTGTAGGTCCTGGTTTTGCAGTTCTGCCTCCATTTCTTCCTGATTGGGCCGGTCTCCAGGGAGCTGCAGCTCGTTTTCCAGGTTGAAGGGAAACCAGCCGGCCTGGTGGCTGCAGGCAGAAAACATCAAAATCACGTCTGCTCTGATCCCAAATATCAGCGGCTAATGCTTCATTTGTAATAAAGCAAGAATTTGAATACGACAGTACGACGTCAAAATAGGGTCAAATATAAGGTAGCTTGAATTCATGGCTGCTGCAAGACAATATTCTGAAAGCCAGCAGCAGTCTGTTTAACTGATCTCGCTAATGAGAACACAGAACTCCGTACTGACGGGGTTCCAACGCAGTCTGCAATTTGATTCAAGTATTTTCCACGTCTGGATGGAAAAAGAAAACATACAAAAAAAAAAATTTATTTCCAGACTTTCCTCCCCAAATATGTCCTTCTAATGTTACTTGATTCGTCTTGTTTCTTCCTTGTGTACTTTCCTTCCTGCCTCATTCTCCCTCACTTATTAGTCATTGCATCTTTCTTTCCTTCTTTCCTCTCTTCCTGTGATTACTTCCATCTCTCTTTGCCTTTTCCTCTTACCTTCCATCCCTTCATCCCTGCCTCCATTTCTCCTCCCTCCTCATTTTCCCAATATTTATTTTTCCATCCTTGTGTCCTACTTCCATTCCATCTGTCCTTTCTTCTCTTTCTTTGAGTGCTTTATTCTCTATGCTTCCATTTTCAATTCTTTTGTCTCTTTCCTAGCTTTCTTTTCATCCTTAAGCTTAAATTTAGATCACTGGTATCTTTGAATGTATTGATAGATCCCATTACGTTGATTGTTTTATGGTTATTGTGTTGTAACTTTATTTTTTTAATGTTCTGTAGTCTTGGCCAGGTTTCTCTTATAAATAAATATTTCGATCTCCATGGGACACACCTGGTTAAATAAAGATTACCATTATTATTAAGTACAGTCTTAATTTTCATTCCTTTCTTGCGTCATTTCTTCCTCCAAGTTTCTAGTTTCTGCTGCTCCGTGTTTCACTGTATACATATCTACCAAACATTCACAGTGAAATTTTCTCTTATAATAGACAGCAAAAGACTGACATCCTCTAGAAGTTTTGTATGAAAAATGCAGAGGAGCTCTGTAATGGAAAAAACCCGAATCCACATTCACTGCTTTTAATAAAGTCACGAGGGAAATATTTTAAAGGAAGCTTTAATTTCAGCATCATCAAGTGGAGAGACGATCTCTCGCTGCGGGAATCGGAAGCAACTGAGACGATACTTTAAGGAAATAATGAGCCTGTTGGCACATGCAGACAAAACAATGCTTCACTCACAGGTAGAGCACCAGCATGGCCATCATCACCATGACAAAACGGCTGAAGGAGGAGTAGAAGTAGACTATACTGAGCAAGATGGCAGCGCGAGAAAATGTGTAGACCCAGTCCAGCCAATCCCTGTTGAGCTCCTCCTCGTTCAGGATCTCCCCTCCCTGAGCGTTCATCTGGACTTCCGGGTTTCCGTGGCGACCCGCCTGTGGTCGTTGGCTCCCAGGGTCGGACTGGCCGGTCTGAGCGGAGGGCTGGTCGGGTCGGAGGAGCTGAGAGGAAGATGCCAGTAAGTGGCTACAGGAGAGGAGAGATGAGGAAGAGTGTGAAGGATTTCTGCTAACGGAAAGGCTCGGATGGAAATAAAACGACCATAACAAAGCGGGGCCTTACTAGTGCATGTAGTACTGTCTTGCATACAGCTGCTGCCACCACATCAAAGTCATGGGGGCGTAGTAGGAGGGCGTGTTTATGGGGGCTGATGCCATTTGATGATTCCAGCTGGAAAGAAAACAGAAAACAAGACTTTCGGCAAAAACACGACTTTTTCGTTTCATAACAGACCGATTGTTAAAACGGCGATGCTTAAGAGAGATCAGAACTTGGTTTTAGTTAAACTAGGTTATATATTATTACAGCTGCTGCCATCAATTATGCTGGCAAATCGCAGCAGCCTAAATTAAATCAGGAGTTTTAAAGATAAAAACTAACTTTATTTGACACCTTAAGATGTCAAGGCTTCATCTGCAGTGCTAAATCACCTCCTCTCCCTCTCGCTCTGCAGCACTGTAAAAGTTAAACTAGTCAAAAAGCTTACCTATGCATAAATTGCGAATACATGTGATGGTAGGGGAAGGCTCCAGCCTGCTGTCTCAGCCAATCGCTGCCCTCTCCTGCAGCCACCTGACCGGCACTGTTAGAACTCTGAGAGGCCTGCCACCAGGAAATTGGCTGAATATTAGCGATAAGCACGAAATAAAAGCACATGGCAGTTTGTAGCCCTCAGGGAAATGTGGATTACAGCAGAGAGGTGCATGATGAAAGGAAGCGAGACGATGATGAAATTATTTGAAAGATGTGAGAGAGGGACGCAGGTGACCCACCGTGGGACCGGCGGCGCTCTCCTGAGGCTTGTTACCGCGGCTGCGGGGCGGCTTCGGGGAGCTGGGAGGGGTTCTGGAGGCACACACCAGATGGAGCATATGGTACTCGTCCTGCTGCGGAGGCGAGTGCAGCTCGTTACCTCACACAGCCAAAGTCTTGCATGTTCTCTACAACTTTATACATGTGCTTTTACCCACACGGACCACTTCACAGCGCTTCGAAAGCAAACTTTTTAACATATGGTCTGACAACTTATAAAAGACAAAACAGATTCATGTTAATACGATACATGTGAAATTGTCAAACGCTGAACTTGCAGCACCAGTTTCAACTTGAACACGCGTTCTCAAGTATATCTAAAAAGAACTTCATTGTAATACTGGATAAGAAAGGAGTAAAAGTTAGGATTTCCAATATTATCTTTATTTGCTAAATGCCACAAAAAAATGTCCTTTTTACTTGTGAAGTTGTCTAAAAGGCCTTTAAACAAACCAAGAAAGCCCAGATAACAACAGGCATTACTATTAATGACCCAACATAAATGATAGAAACTATCAGTTCCTTTGACCAGTGAAGGCAAACTTTCATTTTCTTTTAGTTCTAAAAAAGACCAAACTGTAAACTGTTATATAAAGCTTTTTAACAACATTTTACTACAAAAGCAACTTACCAAGATAAATATTCCAATTTTTTTTATTTAATAGTTTTCCATTAGGAAATATCTCAAATGTAGCTAAATTTTACAGGAATTGCAGCACATGTTCGCAGAGCAGACACAAAACAGAAAGAAAAACATTGTAAAATGAACATGGTGCTGCTGTTACTGATGGGCCGGCTACTTAAACAGCAGCAGGTTTTTCAGCAAAGTGTCTCTCCCCTCAAGTTCCAAGAAAGGCATGCGAGTTAAATATTCCTCAGGCTCTCTAGGAGTTTACTCCTGTTGTTTCAGAGTTCATTTGATTAATTAGCGAGACGTCACAGAACCCAAAAAACATTAGTTTACCCAACATATTTAGTCTTTTTCGGCGTTTAATTTGTATATTTGGTAATGTAAAGATGTTTACTGCAAAAGAGTAATCGGTGAAAATAATCAATTTAGGAATATAAGAAAAGAAAACATTAAAACTAATGTATTTCAATGTCATGTTCCCATCCAGCTTTTAAAATCTTAGTAGCACTTCAAACTAAAATTTCAAAAAAAAAAAAATACAATTTTACACTTTTATAAAGCATGAAGGAGTAGCACAGAGGTTTCCAATCATGTTATCCTTTTTTTTATTTTATTTTTTTTAAAGGTGACAGAAGCTAAAATATTGTTTTAAAACAACCTAAAATCTCTACTAGCACCTACAGCAACTTACTTTCCGAAGGACGTCTTTTAAGGTGAGGTGATCCAGAAGCAGTTTCCCAGAATAAACCAGCCTCTGGTCTTTGGAGCTCTAAAAACACAGAATAATGATAACGAGGTCAATGGAGAGATGTGGCTTAATTAACAACGTGCATTTTCGGAAAACAATGTAGGGCACGGCGTTTTACTCGTGTTTAAAAGCAGAACACCAAAATCAAATGAAACCTACGAGAAATTCACAGAGAAATGTGAATGATTACAACATCAAAGGCCAAGCAACTGGTGCAGATAATCAGAATGAGATCATAGTAACCTTAATATGGAGAAGTGGCTCTAAATGGAATTAGCAGATTGTACAACAAGGTCAGAGTGTGTCCTAATTAAGCCTAAGTCCATTCTACCGCCATTCAGGAATTCAATCTGTCTTTAAAAGCTTACAGTGTGTGTATATATACACACACATATAAAGATATATACCAATAAAGAAATATATAAATAAAAGAGATAATGTGAGAAAAAAGGGCTCAAACCAAAGTACAGTCCTCTGTGAGGCTGCTGCAGAAGCTAGCGGTTTATCCCTGTGTGTTTAAATGAGACTGCAGCAGAACGAGTTCTCTGCACAGAGCAAAGAGAATAACATCAGATTAGCTCTGCAATAACGCTGGGATCTAAATACTGGAGAGCTCTGACGTCAAATTCCTTCAGCGATTCTTTTAACGTCGGAAAACCAATTTCCCCGACTCCAGAGATTAGATCAGAGGTGTGCAATGCTACATGATGTTTTAACAGTGACAAGAATCAAGACGGGATCTCAGCAGAATCCGCACAGTAAAATCAGGTTATGAGAGTTTTGTGGGAGAAAAATAAGAAAAACACTAAACTTGCCAAACTTTTTAAGCAGGTGAAACTGAATCTCGGACATTCTGCTAAGGCTAAGGCTCTAAAGCTGCCAAGAAACATGTCATCAGATGTCTAACAATTACACGAGCAGATATTTTACTATCAGGGAGTCTGAGGCTGAAGTTTTTGCTGCAATCATGGAATTTGTAATTTCACACCTGGTTGTGTGTCCTCCAAAAAAACAAACAAACAAACAAAAAAACTTATAACTGTTATAACAGCTATAACTTATAACTATTTCAGGATGACTATCTATAGTGTTAAGTAAAACATCCTAAAATATCTTTGCATTTTATTTTATTGCATTCACTGCTATACTGAAAACTTTACGATTCAAGATAAGTAGGCTTTTTTTAAACTACTATTCCTAAGATTTTAAGTTTACGCATACTAAAAATCACATGCTTTTCCAGTGAAAAGCCCAGTATTCACCCAAAACTTTGGTCAATAATATTAAAATAAATTTCTGAATTAAATCAATAATGAAAATCAAACCAAGCTGTTTATTTCAGAGCTGAATGTTCTCCATATCGGTTAATTTTTTTAAATGAAAAGCTTTTTTTTTTTTTTTTTTTTTACCAGTGTCACATTTTGTGATGGACCGTTGTAGTTTTTAAATCTTTATATAACTTTGATTGTTAGATTTATTGTTTGCGTTATAATTTTCAGGGTTTTTTTTTTTTTTTTTTTTGTCTTTTTGAAGCAGAGCTGACATTTAAATTGTGTGTTATATATGCAAAATTACAAGGATTTGTAGTTTAACCCTTAGCTTAATTAGGTACCACCACAAGTCTATTAACTGACAATAAAATAAAGAATAAAATATAACCAGATTTTATAGCAATATCTTAAATGAAACGTATAATTAAAAAAAAGGTTGGTGATTAAACAACGAAATAGGAATTGAGATCAGGAAAAATTAAACATAATCTTGTTATTTAAGAATGATCTTTGGTATATTGCTATATTATTAAGAAAAACAACTTACGGGTTTGCTAGGGTACACATCAGACAGGTGGGCTTTGAGCTTTTCCACGGTCCAGTTCTGGAAGCAGTTGATTGTCTGGTCATCGTACTTCTGGTTGGGAGCCTTGATAACGAGGATGACAGGACTGTCCACAACACCTTGATCCATGACTCAAAAACATTTGTCTTCAATGAAATATCCAAAGAAAAATCTCTGAGACACGCCTTTCTGCTTCCAGTCCAAATTATTGCAGAAAGTTTCTTACAACGACGGAGGGGGAATTGATATTGTTCACAAGAACGACAGCTGGGAAAGGGGGAAAAACAAACCAAAGTTAGAGAGAAACTATTTTTAAATTCGATGATGATGATGATGAGAACAACCAAAACTACACGGGTGGCAACAATTCACTGACAACTCAATCTTCATAACGAGCTCATAAATACGAATAGAGGAGACATTCGTGGTGTGTTTAGCGTGATATAATATTAGACAAAAACAACCGTTAAGTCCCGACAGAGATATTTAACAGATAGCTAAGCTAACATTAGCTTCAATCGTTTTTCTTACAACCACCTCAATAATGTCAAAGACAATAAGCAGTCCCTTCTATGGTTAACTACACCCGCTCAAAAGACCCAGCTGTGTGTCTAAGGCCCCTCTAAAGGAAGTCAAAGCTGGTTTGCAGACCTTGTTTATCTCCAGTGACCGAAATGTTTCATCGTTAAAGCCCAACCTAGCGTCTATTCTCCTTCTTCGTGAGTAGCGTTCGCAGTTGATAAACAACACGTTAGCGCGCTACCGCCACTTACTGGTTAGAAAACGAAAGTTTGAGTAAAAATAAAATAAACTAAACTAAACTAAAATAAAATAAAATAAAATAAAATAAAATAAAATAAAATAAAATACTTCTCTTTGCAAGTAATCACCAGTGCTACCAGTACTGTAAAAAAATTTAGGACTCAGATACCCAATGTTGGACAGTTGAATAAAGTGCATAGAAATTTACAATAGATGAATAGTAAATACATTTATTCAGAATTACTTGAAATACAACAGGATTTTACCCTAAAAAGCTGACATGAAGCAATTTACATTTTAATAATATTACACTAAAGAGAAAACATAGAAAGAAAAAATTAATTTACAGATTCATGGCAGATTTCCTCCATTATTATTATTATTATTATTATTATTATTATAATTATTATTATTATTATTATTATTATTATTATTATTATTATTATTATTATTATTATTATTATTATTATGACCAGTGTTGATTCCTGTTGGCTATATCATTTTTGTTTATTACTGTCATCTACTGGAGAAAGTTGTTTACTACAACCCAGCAGTTTTCAAACATCTTTTGGGGAATAAGGAATCAAGCTTTTACAGAATTTGGCAATGCAATTAATCTTTTACATACCTAGCCCACCCTTTTTTTTTTTTTTTTTTTTTTTTTGAATTTTTCTTTAATTCATTCACATTGGGGAAAAAAAGATTTGGGTGTGAAAATTTTTTTATTTT